TTTTTCACGTTCGTCGTATTTTGATATTGTCAAAAATGACTGAAAAACAAGATCAATGAAATTGCATCAAGTTTTGCTTTCAACTCGGAAAAACAAGTTCGGAAACTATTGAAATGATGCAAAAGGCCTTCGGAAGCGAGTGTATGAGCAAAACACGAAGAAAAGAGTGGTATAAACGGTTTAAGGATGGTCGCACTTCTGTCGATAGTGATTCTCGTTCCGACCGACCTTCGACGACAAAAACCGCAGATATTGGGCGGGTGCGACTTGCAATCGAACAAGATCGTCGTATGACTGTGCGAGAACTAGAAGAAGACCTTGGGATACCAAAAACTATCATTTCAGAAACTTCAACCGAAAATTTAGGAATGAAACGCGTGTGTGCGAAATTCATCCCAAAATTCCACACAGTAGAGCAGAAGAACATTCACTTAGAAATCGCTCTGGACAATCTGGAAATGGTCAATAATGATGATAATGTGCTTAGAAAAGTTATTACAGCTGATAAATCATGGGTTTATGGTTATGATCCTGAAACAAAACAACAATCTTCACAATGGAAGCATTCTGAATCGCCAAGACCAAAAAAAGCACGTCAAAGTCGGAGCAATGTTAAGTCAATGTTGATTGTTTTTTTCGATTGTGAAGGTGTTGTACATCACGAATATGCACCAAGAGATCAGACAATACATAAAGAATACTACGTTCAAATTTTGAAACATTTGCGTGATTCAGTAAGAAGAAAACGGCCGCACTTTTGGGAAATGCACCAGCACATTCATCTAATCTTGTGCAGCAGTTTTTGAGCAAACACAATATTGCATTGCTTCGATAACCTCCATACAGTCTCGACATAGCCCCTTGTGACTTTTGGCTGTTTCCAAAACTAAAAAAACCACTCAAAGGACACCGATTCGATGACAAAACAACGGTTGAAAACAATGCGACGAGTGTACTTAAGGCTATCCCTTAAAGTGAGTTCCGGAACTATTTTGAAAAGTGGGAACATCCACGGAACCGTGTTATTCAATCAAATGGGGATTACTTTGAAGGATGCCACCCACCAGATGATAAAGAATAACGCTAGCACGAAAATTTAAAGGTAGGCCCGATACTTTCCGGGCAGACCTCGTATTCCTCACAGAGCTGTTGGTAAAGGGCACTGGTATTTAGCGTGCTTCTCCTCGTCTCTGTAGCTTTCGAAAATTTAGCTCCTTGTTCCTTGGGGTGGCTGTACTCTACTCATTGTGCTTTAGTCACTGTGCTCTACTGACCGTGCTCTATTAACTGCACGCTTCACCGCAATCGACAGCTTCCTTAGACATTTTTCTTTTCCCCACTTGACCTACTTATGAGGCGGCGCGCGACTTAAGCGCTAATTGGTTACACATCGCGCGCCTGCCTAAAGCTGCGTGGGACACGCAGCCCCCCTCTCTCTTTCTAACACCTAGCGTCGTCCACTTCAGCGGCTTCGGACCGGCTCGTCCTCGCTCGGCGATCTCCGTCGGCTGAAGACAAAGACCATGCATTAGGTGCATTCGAAATGCGCCCAACGCTGGCCACTATGCCCCGCCGAAAGAGGGGAAAGAGGAAAAATACTGAGCGAGAGCAAGCGCTACGCTCGATCTCATCACAAAACAAATATCGTATTAAACGAATTGCGATATAGCACGTGAATACTACTTAAATTACAAATATCGAAAATGATTGATGAAATACAAAAGCTATAAAAGACCTTGCATACGCTTTTACAGCTTAGTTTGTAAGAGTTTAAGTCGAATACTATACCTCAGACCTTCGTACCTTTCGACAATTCGGTGTATTGTTACTATTATCGTTATAACGATTTTGCACAGAGTAAAATATATATATTTAACGATAATTTTATAAATCAAAAAGTATCTGTAATCAATATTTAAAAGTGAGAAGTAAAAATAAAAGTGATTAAAATCCGTTCAGTATCCGACTCTAATTTCAAATACTTTCACATCACAAGAATTCATCACCAGGTAAAGTAACAATTATATTAAATTATTTATTCGAAAATGTAGATATATGAAAATATACATAAAATGAGCCTAAACTACTAGACTCTTATTGGAATGTCATGAATGTTTGGGTAAATGTTAGGTAGCTGACGCCTAAAACGTAATGCAGTATCGAAATGGAAAATACTTTTATCAGCCTATTGGACGGCATAAGATCGGTGAATCAGCCAAGTATGATTGCAACTTTTTTGATGTTGCATAATATCAATACATATACACGCTATTATTTCAAAAGATTATCTGCTACACTTTTATATTTTTATCAGAATCAAGCGTAAACATGCAAATGATTAAACAATTAGATAGTGAGGAAAAAAGGAACAGATAAAACTGGATGGTTACAGCATGTTCGTGATTAATCATTAGCCATAGTCGTTGAATGGAAAATACTGCATGCCATGTATATGTTTTAGTAACACTTGCAATAATTTACAATACGGTTAATTGAGCGATTTTGACAATACTTAAATATTTTCGAACCTTATTTCATTGAAATATGGAATCAACACAATAAACTTATTTTATTTATCATGGCGTTTAATACACTTATCTTTCTATTTTACACAGAAAGGTTCATAGATCACTTGTCGAAATCCATGCTTACGAGGCAATATTCATAGGCAATAGATCATTTACGAGGAATGTTAGAAAATGTAGATTTCATGACATGACGAAGAATATGGCTCCGGCAAGATGATGTACCAGCACACTTTGCAAGACTAGTATGTTAATTTTTGAATGAAAATTATAATAAAAGATGGATCAGAGGTCCAGTTAACTGACCTCCTAATTCACTAGATATGATATCTCTAAATATTTATTTATAGGTCTTCGTAAAATATGCTATTTTTAGGGAACAACCAACAACTAGGGCGAATATGACAAATCATGTCAATCAAACTTTTGCAGCAATTCCTAAAGAGCCTTTGCTAAGAACGGTTCAGCACTTTGAAAGACGTTTAAATTTATGTCTTGAAACAAATGTAGATAATTTTGAACATTTGTTGTAAACAAGCACCCCGAATGCGAGAGGCAAGGGACTCGCGTGAAACAAGCACCCCGAAGGAAACAGTCCTTACTACGTTCACGTCGTTGTTTCTGGGAACACTGATAGTAAGATTAGGGACAATAATAAAATAATATTTTCCGCTCTTTCAGAATCCAGCGTCAATAGTAGGGGTTCTTATTAAAAAAAATCAGTTTGACCTTCAAATGACCTTGAAAACTTACCTCAAGGTCAATCAGAGCCATTGACTTATAAGCTCACTTAAATTTTACTCACGTACAATCCTGGAAAGCTTAAAGAAACTGATTTTTATGCAATTTTTTCAGTATTTAACTTTGATTTGACCTTGATATGACTTCCTAAAATTCACTTAAAATCATTTTAGACAGAAAATTTCCTGCTCTTTTAGAATCTGGTATCAAATCGTGATTGTTGGTATCAAATCATGATTGTCCTCCGATGGTGCAGTCAGCCCTCGTCGCACAATTCCATCGGGCTCGCGTCATTACCCTCGTCTCCTTTTCTAGCGGATAGTGATTGTCACTTGCTCGTGAAACTGACTCAAACGCTCAAGGAGAGAACAACCAGGCCTACACACTCGGTTGCGCAGAGAGGATGAACAGCCTCAATATTCCGGAAAGACCTGAACTCGCAATCTTCGGATTCCGTTTAAAAAGAGAAGCGCAAGACTCCTCCTTTTCTTTTGATCCATCATCCAAGACCAATCATACTTTGGCGATTAAGAGGGCGGTCAGACTAGATCGGTTACCTGTCCGAGAGGCCAGCAGCCGACCCCTTTTTTTATATGACTTATCCTTTTATTACTTCGCGTCGGTCCTAAAGTAATTTGGATTCTCCCCATGTGCTGAAAATGGACATCTGTTCTTAACGACAAGGAAAAACAGATGTGCCACAGTAGGCATGCGCCAGACGAGAAGTATTATAAATTATCGTGTGCCTCAGTACGGTCGCTTTTGCTAAGCCCCTTACAGTCATAAAGTAGACCATTAATGCGCCGAGACATCTTCGCCACGTGTACACTCTCCGTTTTTTTCTCACCATGCTGGAGCGCAAATAGTGCGAACAATGATCTTGAAAATAGATCCTAAAGAATGAAAAATAAATATATCTGAACGTAGAATTTCCCGCTGTTGCTAAATCTGCAGTACAACAGTCTATTGTACGAAATTGAATAAGCTCCATTGAATGTGACGTGATGAAAACTAACGGAGGTCATATTTAGTTTCAGAGGGTCAAAATGTAAAATTAACTAATTAGAGTTTTTGTTCAGATTTTTGCTCAGATCAGTTCAGATCACAATTTATGGTCCTGTGGAATTCTTGTGAACCATCATTATTACATCAAAAAAATTTTAAATTGCCACATAGCACTGAAATTATACTTGCTGCTAGCAATTATATAATTATTTAAGTCTTCTCACTATCCAAAATTTTGAACAATAAATATTTGATTCAGATTGAAAGATAACCAACTATCAGGAAGCCTTCGATGGTATGGCATAATATGCTATGTCACGACGGTCTTGGTGATAGAGTATTGTAATATTAAACATGCGCACAGGTATACATCAAATTCTGCCTAATCTCTCAACCAAATCATGGAAGAAATGGTAGCTGAAAGAAAGCCACATAAAAATATTAGTTAGATTTAAGGATGTACGAGTATCAACCACAATCGAAACTAAAAGCAGAGATCTGAGCCTCAACATAACTTCAATTTTCAGTATGTTTTCAGCTCAACGTAACCTCAACTCTGCGCAGTCTCAGTATAGCTCACATAATCTGATATTCATGTGATCTATGGTTATTCTAGTATATCTACAATTATCTCAAACAATCTTAAAAATAATAAACTAATTCATATACAGAAATATAGTAGATACGTAGATATATTATACGTGCATAATAAATTAGCCGTGTACTAACTTTTGACTCAATGTTTCACATACTACGTTAAGAATTTCTGTGCATTGTTGATGATATTCTAAAAGAGCCTCGCTGAATGTAGCAAGCTGTGCCACTTGTTCAATCTATATCAAAAATCAAATTTTTATTACAAATTTCTAGTAACTCATATGTTGAAATAATATTAAACTTACATCATTTTCCAATAAATTAAACATTCCCATTTGTGCGAGGTGAAGGCTTTCGGCAAATTTTTCTTCAGCTTGGCGTACTTCATCATCTAAAAATGTATAAATGTTAGTATATTTTTCTTAATACTACAAAACATGACAGATTTTATACTTGTAAACTAATATCATTAACATTGAAACATAGTAATTATCAATGAGAAATTATGTATTTTTATTACTAAAGAAATGATAACGATAATGAGTAATATATAAGATCCATCGAGTATCACGGTAGCAATCTGTGGCCCAAATATCGGAGACATATTTATACAATAGCTCAAATCCAAAATGTTCTAGATGGATTACACATTGTTAGGGATGACTGTTGATATTTATTGCAACGAGATAGGAAACTAATAAATTAATTGCATGCCACTGTAGCTATTTTCAAATAATGTTTCTTTTTTTTTTAGCGAAAAAGATAAAATATTATTTCAGGCAGAAAGAAATTGTCTGGACTAGGAGAAGCGGTTATGTAGGGCTGAGAAAGAAATGGGCTTATAAGTTCATGTACAACGATGAAATATTTTTCCGTTGACCATTGGCCGAATTACATGTGTTTTGACACGCTAAAGTTTTTCTTCACGTCGAGTGTGCTTAAGGATGCTCCCTAGGAAATAGAATTAACGGTTGTAATTCAATGAAACCTGGCAAAAAGTTAGATAATTATGTAAAGAAAGCTTGTTTCAATTTTTGCAAATTGGGAATATCTATGAGGCGAGATATCAGTAATTATAGGTGTACGTTTCGTTACATAAGCTCTTACGGAAAATATCAATGTTCCTCTACTTTATTAATTGTATCTTAGTAATTGATGATTGGAATTTGATAAAATTATAACAAAAGAGAGAAAATAATATAAGCTTTATTTACCATGTTTTAAAAATTCAGTGGAGTACCTACGAAAGACGTATATAAACAGTAAACATTTAAAATGATGTATTTTATTATGAATAATGGATGCTTTAACAACGTCGAGACGTACGAGGTGTGATCAAAAAGTAAGGTGAATGTTGAAATTTAGCGGGCTACGTCCGTTCGATCTTCGACTTTTTTATTTTGTTAAGTCGGTACACTCGTCTAGAACATACGTTCCAAATTTCAGCTTTGTAGTATGTTTGGTTTGTTTGTGAGAGGCATCAAGGTTAGAAGTGTTTTGCGTGCTCCACGATTTGCTGCTGTCTAAAAACATGGATCAAAGAGTTTGTATTAAATTTTGTGTGAAAAATGGAATCAAATGTTCCAAAACACTTGAAATGCTGAAAGTGGCATACGGTGAGTCTACTTTAAGCCAAAAAAATGTTTACAAGTGGTATAAACTCTTCCAAAAAGGCCGAGAAGACACCGACGACGAACCTCGTTCTGGACGCCCCAGCACATCAACAACTGATGAGAATGTTGAAGAAGTGAAGAAAATAGTGTTGGGAAATCGTCGAATTACCATTAGAGAAATTGCTGATGATATTGGCATCTTATTTGGTTCATGCCAATCAATTTTGACGAGTGTTTTAGACATAAGACGTGTGTCAGCGAAGTTTGTTCCGAAATTGAGCGAAAGAAACGTCGCATGAGCATCGCCCAAGAGCTACTGAATGACGTCAACGATGATCCAGATTTACTCAACAGGGTTATAACAGGTGACGAAACATGAGTATACGGTTATGACGTCGAGACTAAGACTCAATCGTCCCAGTGGAGGCATTCTGGATCACCAAGACCAAAAAAAGCACGCCAAGTTCGATCAAATGTAAACTTTTTGCTTACAGTTTTCTTTGACTGCAGGAGCGTGGTGCATCATGAGTTCTTGCCACAGGGTAGAACAGTAAATAAGGAATATTACCTGCAAGTTATGCGCAATTTGCGCGAAGCAATCTGCCAGAAACGTCCGAATTTGTGGAAAAATAAAAATTGACTTTTGCACCATGATAACGCCCCTGCTCACACATCGTTGCTTGTGCACGAATTTTTGGCTAAAACCAACACAGTAACGATGCCACAGGCACCGTATTCCCCAGATCTGGCCCCCTGTGACTTCTTCTTGTTCCCAAAACTGAAGAGGCCCATGAAAGGACGGCGTTTTGCCACGATTGAGGAGATAAAGACGGCATCGAAGGATGAACTAAACAAGATCACAAAAAATGATTTTTTGAAATGCTTTGAGGATTGGAAAAAGCGTTGGCACAAGTGCATTATATCCGAGGGGGATTACTTTGAAGGAGATAAAATAAAAATTGATGAATAAATAAATATTTTTTGAGAAAAATAAAAATTCACCTTACTTTTTGATCACACCTCGTAGGTTGTATAGCACGATGTGTCCGTTCGTAAGCAGCACATGTATGAACGGCGCATCATTCGAAATACTTACTAATCTGTAAATTTTGAATGCTGATTCACATCACATTTACTGATTTGAATCTTATATTATAAAATATTTCATTAAATATTTATCATAGAATTTAAACAAAAAATAAGTAGACAAACATATATATCTTTATTTACGTATAAAAGAACATTTTATTATTAAATATTTCACATGTCACATAATAATACAGAGAAGGACTACTAATAAAAATGTAAATGTAATATTTTGTAATATTTTTTTTTTGGCATTGTATTGCACTTCTTAAGTATAGTATTATTTAAATGTTATATTATAAAGTAATATTTTTATTAATACAAAATAAACATAAAAGCTTTAACATTTTCATAGTTATATTCAATTTACTGTCTAATCTAATATATTTATTAATTTATTGATATTTGGATATTATATAGTTATACAGTTTTTCGGTAACTTTTTTACTTTTGGTTACACGAATTCTGCCAGTTTTGTCATTGCCGAATAAACATGAAAGTTTTTGCATGCATCAATAATCATATTTAAACTTATATCTGCTGTAATAAATTTTTTTCTTATATTTACCGACGTAGCGTCTTTTAGTACATCCAATGTTTTTAACAACGACGTACACTTTTGTGAAAGCTTAACATTTTCTTTTGCTATATTCCAAAGTAAACAAGATTGAATAAGCTGTTTATGGCTTATTTTTAATTTTTCTATAATTTGAGAAAGCATGTAGACATCACCAAGATCATCATGCGCATTGAAACCTTCTATTTGAAGATGTTGAGCAACATATTCTAATTTGTTTTGTCCTTGTTTTTTAAAACCAGTAACTATTTTAATATCAGATATTATGTCTACAAATCCGTAAATTATTGATGAAAAATATTTATCCGTGTATGTTTTTTCAATAGCTTTCATTAATCTCGGATAATCAAAAGAATAATTATGAGCAGCCAATACACATTTTGTATTAAATAAACCTAAAAACTTATATACACTAATTAATCCCTCTTGTAAATTAACATAGATACTGACTTTCCATGTAACTGCAAATTATTATTACTAAGCCTCAGTCCATGTGTTTGACTTGATTTATCTGAGATTTTTTTGGTAGGCCTTATATATATAGAAAATTCATATTCTTTATGTTTCCATGCTATCTGAAGAATATCAGCGTCGCCAGAAAGACCTCCTGTCTCTGAATAAAAAAAAATAACAATTGGCTCGGCGTTTTCATCTATAAATGCTACTTTAATACCATCAAATGGAGAAGTCAACAAAGTTATATTTGATTCGTACGTTGGGTCTTCGTTCGATTCTTTTTTATTGCGAGGATCACTTTTTTTTTGTTTTGAAAATAATCTACGCCATTTATATTTTGACGTAGTGATTTTCCTGTATCTGCGACTACGTTTTTTGGGCCCTCGTTCACTGCCCAGTCATATAGAGAGGGCCTATTGAATTTGATCTCAGAAAAGTGGTTCCGTATAATTAGGAATTCAGTTTGACTTGTTAAACCAAGACTTTTCCCACAGGGTATACGTATCCAGCCATCCTGGAAATATGTTCCGTCCGTACGGACTACCCCAATTTCACTAAATTTGCTACTCTACTGGACAATATCTTGGTTTTATATATCTAGATTATCATAACTTTATATATTTCTTACATTTTAAGCTTTCAACTGTATTCCATTTTATATATACATAAATTCAGAATTTTATTGTATATATAAAATCATATTATTGAATTAGCACATTAATTCTTAATATTATTTCACAAAAAGAGTCCATATGATTGGAAATAAAAAATTCAAACTACGGATATTCCATCAATTCATATCACTTCATATTACTTTGAAAAATTGTATATTACTATGATTCTAATTAATACAAAAAACAAGTAGTTTGAAAAATATTAATAGTATCAAATAAATAATGTTCATCGCAAACATGGCAAATAACTCATTTTTTTTTCATATTAAATCATTGACTGCATATTAGTATGAGAAATTGTCCATATTCTCAAGGTACTAATAACAAAAAGTAATCTGATTGTACTTATAATTTTATTAGTTCATATCAATTCAATGGTAAAGAAAGTATATTGTTTCATCATATAGAATGTGAGGATAGTTGATCCATTAAATAAAAGGGAATTTTTCAAGTAAATTTAAAAAATCAATTGTGAGCTGCTATCGTTATTATTAATTATACTACTATTTTTTTTCAAGTAAATTTGAAAAATAATTTGTAAGTTGCTACCATTTTTTATTATTTATACTACTATTTTGTACGGTCATTATAAATGATAACAATATTTAACTAAAACTCACTTAATTTCTTAATTAATGTTTTAATGTTTATAATCAAATGGCAAATCATAATAACTCATGTTTAAAATTATTTTCATATTAAAATCTTTGACTGCATATTAATTTGAGAAATTTTCCATATTCTCAAGGTTCTAATTACAAAAAGTAATCAGAATGTACTTATAATTTTATTAATTCATATCAATTCAGTGGTAAAGAAAGTATATTGTTTCATCATATAGAATGTGAGGATAGTTGATCCATTAAATTAAAATGTAAGGGAATTTTTCAAGTAAATTTAAGAAATAATTTGAGAGCTACTATCGTTATTATTATTTATACTACTATTTTTTTTCAAGTAAATTTGAAAAATAATTTCTAAGCTG